CTCAGGTCTTCCTCATAGAAGATCAGGTTGCCTTTCACAAGCTGCTGGAAAGCCAGTTTCCCCAGTTTGAGGATCATGTCTTCATCCTTCACTTTCTTCTCATAGTCCTTCTCATGTTTGATGTTGGTCTGAATGATCAGGAAGTGTGTGTACATTTCAGTGAGAGTCCTGGGAATATCTCCTTTCCATGATTTCCTCAACATCTTCTCCAGAACAGCGGCTGAGATCCAGCAGAAGACTGGGATGTGGCACATGATGAAGAGGCTCCTTGATGACTTCAGGTGTGAGATGATCCTACTGGCCAGACTCGGATTACTGATTCTCTTCCAGAAGTATTCCTCCTTCTGTGGATCATTGAAGCCTCGTACCTCTGTCACTCGATGGACACAAGTGTTGGGTTTCCCTGCTTTGCCGTTCCCTCATACAGACACTCAAACTTCTTCCTCAGATTTGATCTGAATAACTTGAGGGGTTCATGTTGAGGGTCATGGCTGTAAGATAAACAAATTACAAATAACAAATTATTAGAATTTGTATATTTATAGCTCATAATATATGCATCCTTCATGTGGTATTTTTTGATAACAATCAGTTTGTTAAGAGATCTTCCTTTAGTTTAGTCTAGACTGTTTAGTATGGTGATGTGCTATAAGGATGAGATTGTATATTACAATACTGTCATAATATCAGCATATGTCTTTATTATTTAAAAGGTTTAACACATTAGAGAAATTAGGAAATTAGAGAAACAAAGAAAGGTCTGTGAAATACAGACTATCCGGCTGAAGATCATAAATGTCAAGGTGCTTCAGAATATCCATCCATTCCTTCTATCCTAGGAGACTCTTACTAATAAAAAAAATTAACATCAAGTAACAACTAAGGAGTTACATCATTGTTAAATTTTCCAAGTACTGAATTTAGATTATGAACTTAATTTGACATCAATTTAAATACTTCATCTGCAGTAACTTTTTTGGCTGTCAAATGTATTTCCATCATGACAACTCTCAGAATATTTTAGCGTGGTAATGGATACGACAAAGTTAATGTATTTGGGCTTGACGGAATAAATCAGCTACGCTGCTGAATTGCTGATGCTTATTGCCATTTTGTAGATCAGGGGTCAGCAACCTACAGCACGTGTGTCAACAGTTGCACGCAGAGGGATAATCGCTGGCACGCGAGCAGGATTCAGGATTACTTTATTTATCCCTAGGGAAATTTGTCTTGGACATAAAGCAATAGGGAAAACTGCATATATTGTACATTTTGAGGTAACAACTTCTCATAGTCACACAGCCTGTTAGGAGCTATAAATACTATTAAAGTGTGAGAATTAACTTGTGCTAGTCTACGCTGCTCTAGACCAGTGGTCGCCAACCCGTCGATCGACTGGTAGATCTCTATCACTGTCCCAGTAGATCCCGAAAATAACAGTAAAATAAGTACAAAAATGCATTACATTTCTGGGATTATATTAATGTATCACTGAAGGAAACGGTCTTGAGAAAAGTGTCGATGGCAATGGCATTTTTTTCTCCTCCGTATAAAGCGCAGCTCTGCTTTGTTCACAGCGGTAACCAAGGAAACTCTGTAGTGCGGTCGGTTCATAAGCAGTGTTGCCAAGTCCGTGGTTTTCCCGCGGAATTGGG